AAATGTCAGTGATTTATTGCAGGTACATTAAGTATATTAGACACCTGGCTATTTTTCCTCCTAGTGAGGTTGTTTTCCAAATGCAAGATGCCAGCAGAATACTGTTTTGTGTTAAACTGTATTTGTGCCTACTTTGCTTCTGTTTAGGTGAAAATGCCAGATGTAGAATTTTTTGTTAATTTGGGGGACTGGCCTCTGGAGAAAAGGAAGCCCCCACAGAACTTGCACCCGATCTTCTCATGGTGTGGGTCCAGTGAGTCAAAAGACATTGTCATGCCAACATATGACTTAACAGACTCAGTTTTGGAGACCATGGGACGGTAAGAAATGGCTTAAACTTTTTACAAAATTCCCAGTGAATGATCTTCCACAGAGACCTGTGTGTTAACAATGTATTAACTGTTTCCATTTACTCATCGAGACACTAGCACCCTAGGTAGGCAGTGACTCTGTAATCAATATATTAACATTATACTTCACTGTTTCATTTCAAAAACCTAAATTTATCTAAGCATGGTCAAATCACTGAAAACAGCACTTAAGAGTGTTTCAAGGCTAGGCATTTGATTTTTTGCTTTGTTTCTCCTCTCATGAACTTGTTGACAACTGACCAGGTGTCTTTCTTTCCTGATTTTGTTAGAATCTGTTTTTTGTGTACCTTTCAAATCCCAATGTAGCTATTGGGAATTCTCAAACTAGGAGCTACCATCTCCCACTTCGATTACTGACCATAACTAACCTTGGCAACTGCTCTGTTCTTCTTGAAACACCACAAAGACAGCTTGCTTCTAAGAAATCTTTGTAATCCATCTTGAACTTGTTTATCATTTCAATGCATTTAGTTCAGGTTCCTTTTTTTTTTTGTCAAGACTTTTTCTAAATTTGCTATCCCTTGCCCTCCCAATTTATATGTTTAATTTCTTAACATTTTTAAGGATATGCAATATATTTTATTAAGCAAGTTACACTACCTTGCATCACCTCCTCTGGCAACCATATCCACTTTTAGTTATTTTTTTCCATGACAGCTGACAGGTATTGTTTCCACGTGCCATGTTGTTGAACGATGCTGTCATGCCACATGCCTGTGAACTTAACACTCATTATCTGTTTCTGTTGCTGCAAATGACTGATACAGTAACACATCATGGTTTGCTCATGACTTGCCTTCCTCTTTGCTCTCTGCCTATGGGTACTGTGAACTCTTTTAAGTAACCGCACATAAAAAAGTTTCCAGCAGGCTTCACTATTAAATCACTTCTTTATTCTGCAGAGTCAGCCTGGATATGATGTCAGTCCAAGCAAACACTGGCCCATCGTGGGAAGACAAGAATACCACAGCCTTCTGGAGAGGACGTGACAGCCGCAAAGAGAGGCTTGAGCTTGTAAAACTCAGCAGGAAATATCCAGAGATCATAGATGCTGCTTTCACAAACTTTTTTTTCTTTAAACATGATGAAAGCCTCTATGGCCCTATCGTTAAGCACATTTCATTTTTTGATTTTTTTAAGGTAAGCCACTAATCATTTTTCATAGAACTCAGTTCTCACTGTTTCCCATTATCAAATAACTTAGCATGTATTATTGAAAACAAAGTGATTTTTAGTTTCTCAGGACACCACCAGTAACAAGCATGACTAGACATCCCTCCACAGTGGGATTAACTGCTATGTAGCTCTTATCCTCAGGATAGTAATGTCTGATTTACATCTAAAGCTTCTGTAGCCTCATGTAATCTATGTAACTTCAAGTTCCTTTTTATTTCTTTTTCCTGATTCAGTGATCAGGACTACTAACATAACTAACATAGTGGGAAAATCGGTGGATGAAGTGGCACATCTACCCTCACATCCAAGGATGAGCACCTAAGAATTCCTGGAGAACTTAATTGATGAAGCTCTGTGTACCCTGCACTGTGATGAATTCCAATCTAGATAATAAAAGCTTCTTAGACATTGATGCTTGCCTAGCCAGTGCTACCTGTCTCAATATCGGCAAGTCAGTAACACCAGTGCCCTCAGAATATAACCTAACCAAGCCACTGGGATCTTGTGGTTTTTAATAACTTCTGGTCCTTTTCTTTCCAGTATAAATATCAAATTAATATTGATGGCACAGTGGCAGCATACAGATTGCCTTATCTACTAGCAGGAAACAGTGTGGTGCTAAAGCAAGACTCCATCTACTATGAGCACTTTTATAACGAGCTGCAGCCATGGAAACATTACATCCCATTTAAAAGTGACCTGAGTGATCTGCTAGAAAAACTACAGTGGGCAAAAGATCATGATGAAGAGGTAAAATACGCATTTAGAAGTACATAGTAATGTTTCTAGAAGAGAACAAAAACTGAATTTCTTGAAAACAAAGCAAAAAATATACTGGAACTTGAAATTTATTTTCATCAACTCTACAAACAAGAATAACACCTAAAAATGTATATTGTCCTTTATTTGAAATCAAATTGAACTTCAGGGAAAAAAAAAGAGTATTTTCTGAGCAATGCCTTAACTTTTAAAAAGAATGTTTTATTTAATTTCTTCTAAACTGTCAACATCATTTGTAACTCCACAACCAACAGTAGCACCCTGAAATGAATACCAGTTCTGGGCAATAAAAAAACCAAACTTTCATTTTCTTTGACAGGCAAAAAATATTGCAAAATCTGGACAGGAATTTGCAAGAAACAATCTCATGGGAGACCACATTTTTTGTTACTATTTCAAACTTTTCCAGGTCAGTATATTTTTAACAGCTACTGGCACAGAAATAGAAATCACACAGCAAGAATTTAGGGCAGCAGAGCTGCTGGAAATTGGCCAGTCTGCTACTTGAAGCTACGAAGCAAGCAACAGCAATTAAAATCTTCATTTGGTTTGCAAACATTGTATTCAATTATATCCTATGCAACCCCTTAAGACTACACTGGCTCTTTGAGAGGCAGTGGGATCCCATAAATCTTGATCTAATCTGCCAGAATATGTTGCCCACAATGATCAAAGAATTCCACATCAGACGCACACCCTGTGAACCACAGCTGAAAATATCTGTGCATTAGCACCGAGATACTGAACTCCAGGGAGGCACCGAAGGGGCTCCCGTCTGCAGCTGAGTGTTCCCTCATCCTGTCTTGTCTGTGACAAGAGTCTGCAGGAACAGATTAGATTGTGTAGCCCCAGAGCTTTTACAGAATCACTCAGCTGAGTTGGTGCAGTATTGGCAACCAGATGTACAGTCTAAAAAATTTGTGAATTAATGATACCTTCCTTTTCTTAAAACTAGGAATATGCCAGCTTACAAGTGAGTGAACCAAAAATCAGAGATGGGATGGAGAAGGTGCAGCAGCCTGATGATGACCTTTTCCCATGCACTTGCCACCGAAAAAAGGTACAGTACATGCAGAGTTAAATGTAAAGTGCTGAGTGTCTTCAGTTCCTGTTCAGCCCCACTGGAGCAGGACTGCTCAGTGCCCCACAGTATCAGTTATCAGGCCAGGCCATTAACACCTATCGAACTTAGAAACACTTCTTGATGTATTTGCAGGACTAGACAGTGAAAAATTAGGCTTCCAGTTAACTGAAATGTTTCTTCTTTTTTGACTGCAGGCCAAAGATGAACTCTGACAGAAGTAAATAATTTTTTCAGTATTTACCTACATTCAGACTTTCTTCTTAAAGAAAGAAGAAAAGTCTGGATTAATATACCCATGGATAACATCAGTGGGTATTTTGAAGTTTACCATTTCATGATTGACATACGGAAGAAAACAAAGCACCCCCGATTTCCTTTTTATCATGCAGTGGTGGCAGAGCCTTATTCAAACACATCTTTATAATTTCTTTTTTAAATAAAAAACATGTTTGTATCAGTCATGTGTTCCTGTCCTGAGTTACCTTGGAAATGCAGATACTTTTTATTCATGTTTGTTTATAGTGAGTCTTTTCACAAACATGAAACTGTTCTACAAAAATGGGCAGATGAGAATTGTACTCCTTCCCCTCTACTCTGCCTGTCTATCTATCTGCCCATCCAAAGGCATCTTTTTTCAGACCATAACTTTGCCTCTTCTGAGAGAATCTCAAAGACAATGCTGTGGGGTTCATAATAAATCTAGTTAACCTGAAGGAAACCACACTTCCACTATTGCTGTAAGCTTAGTTATACCAACAGGTTACTCACAGCCCATAATGAGAAATGCTGCAGCTGCCAGTATATACAAAGTGTTTTCATCCACTCTTCAGTGTCAGAGCTCAGACAGGGACCCGAGTTCCTCCTGTCACAATGGGTGCAGAACTAGTTCCTGCTCTAGGAGTTCCTCCATCACTAAATACCATTTGTGTATCAGTTTTTATTTATCAGAGGGTGTCTCTGATCAGTCCTCTACAGAAAGGACATTGTTGAAGGGGACTTCTCAAAATTGAACCATGTTCTTTGCTCCACATGCCCAGCTGTGCCTGCATTACCTCCTCCCTACACAGACAGAATCTGGCTCCCTAAGGTGGCAGACACTGTAAACAACCAAAGATTCCTCTCCCTGCCTCACTGGTTTGGAAGCACCTGGGAAGGCCAGCACACAGCACCAAAGCAAAGCAGTACACCAGGCTCACCTGCCTCAGGGGATGTACTGGCAGAACCCTACAAATCAGAAGGTTTTAATTGCAAGTGAGTACAGCATCAGTTATACACTCAGGAAATGAAGACTCCTAAAGGTACACTGTCCAAGTTGATTTTTTCCAGTATATTACTTCAAATATTGGTCAAAAGCATTACTTAATCCTCTGCATTCCCAAGTATTGAATATGGTTATTTGCATAGAAACATAGAGAACAATGCTGTCATGATATATTTTCTGTCCTTCAATAAGGTCTTTATTGTTTTGCATATTTTAAAAATTAATACAAAGTTTTATGTACATTTGCACTTAGACCTCTGGAAAGATTGGTTTTTAAAAAAGTATGGCTCTAAAAAATAACAAACCCCTTATTTGCCACATTTAGGAAAAAATAAATGAACAAATCCCTTATTTGCTACATTTAGGAAAAAAAATAAATGAAGATGCTGCTCAGACACTGCAAATTATTTGTGCTGCAGCTGAACATTCTCTCGAAGCCAAGAAAAAACTTGTGCATTTATTTCTTCCATGACATCGTTTGTTGTTCGTCCTTTGACTGCCATCCCATGGTTTGCTTTATCAATCCAATGGATTTTTTTAGGGGCTTTCATTTTGCTCATCACACCTTCTAGCAATTGCTGTGGAGAAAATAAGAAGGCAAGTATTAGAGAATTGGCTGCTACAAACTGAAACACCTAGATGTCTCCTGCTTTGCCTGTGTAATGCAAAATAGGCAGCTCCTAAAAACCAAATAGATCGGAGTGCACTTGAAAAACACCTTGATGGGAAAATTGGATGTATTCTCTATTCAAGAAATGAATACTGGGATCTGCTCAAAGCTTTGCCCTCACTCAAATAGAGAATAGCAGAAAATTAGAACTTCAGAACCTGCACAGGTCACAGCCCTGTGCAGGCACCCTCCCCATACTGACAAAGGAATCTATATTAACTGTCAGAGGGTAATGCTGGCAGTAAAATTATAGAATTGAAGCCAGATTTGTCTACAGAGGCAATGTAGCAATGTAATTCCTTAGGGAGTGGCTTTGACACTGTTGAAATTTCTCAGCAAACAGATCTAAAAACCTGAACAGCTCACAAAGTCAAAGATTCCTCCACTAAAAGGGTACTCCAAGGATCTGCTGGTCACTAGCCTGACTTATTTTGGTGACAAGTCCTCACAAAAGCACTATGACTCCTTAGAAATTGACCAAGCATGGAAAACGTCAATTGCACCTAGCCCCAAATTCAAGCTGACTTGTTCAAGAACAACAGATACCTGTTTGCAAGAAAACATGGCAGAAAAGCACTGCTTCCCTACCTCTGTACACCTGCTCTTCATCTCTACAAAAATATCACTTTCTGCCACAGAAGCCTGGCTTGGGGGTAGAACTGCTTTGCTAGAGGAATTGGCCATGAAAATGTGACCAATGTGAAATTGGTGGCACAGCCCAGGTTTTGTAAATTGAAATGGTTAAAACAAAATAGCAAATAATTCACTCCTTCCATTTATTTAGCAGTAACTCACTCCACTTTTAATTTGTTCATTCCTATCTAAACCATTTAAATCAGAGCTATTTCAGTGACCCAAAGATGAGCTTGCTAAAGTGGAAGATCAAGCATGATCCATTAAGTTTTAAGCAGCAAAAGGAAGCACTGCCAGGCTTCCTTGTGTCTGATGAAGTTTTTCTACCCAAGGCTTCCCTCAGAAGACACCTACTTAGGGAAGGCTGTTAATCAGGTGACATACAGGCATCACTGAGGCTCATTGCTGCTCCTCCAGACTGCCCTTTCATAGCAGGATTTACAGGGGTACTTACTTTTTCGCACATCTCATCTGCTGATCCTGAGACAAACAGTACTGGACACCTGATCAGTAATAAATCCTCATCCCGGAGCTTGGACTGCATCTTTGGTCGATGCAATGGGTAAGATCAACACACAAGACCTTGAATGAAACCATCATCATCATCATCACCCTGGCTCAGCTGACGTATCACAGAGGCAGCAGCTCGTGAGCCCATGGAACGGCCTTTCTCCCATGTAGAAATAAAGGAAAAAAGTATTGTTTGCTGTTACCTCATCTACGTTCTGGTTTAGTAAACTCCCAAAACCAATCCAACTGAGTATATTTCAAGTGACATGAAATGCTAGGGATGTTCTACTTAATGAAAAATATTAATCCTAATTTCAACATTTTCTGCTAAGGTATTTGTCCAGTTGTAACATTTTCATCCCTGCTTAAAAAAGAAGGGGAAAAGAAAATATAAATGGATAGAGATCCCCTGCAATACTGTAAGAAACAACAGCCCATCCTGGGGACAAGGGAAGAGAGGTCCTACACTCCAGAGCCTGGAAATCTGGGATAGCCATATTATCCTGTATCATTATTTTCATGCAGCCTCAATTTGCTCAAATTCAAAACAAAATGCTGTGCTCGATTTCACTTAGCTCACAAAACAAATCCAGCAAGTGTTCATGCACACCTTGAACTTCAGCCTAAAAGTAAAAGTAGAAGGGAGGGAAAAAAGTGTGAACTTGAACATGAGGTCAGTCAGTAACAGGAATATCAAAGTATCTCCTCAAAGAGAAGGCATATGAGCTGACAGTGCACTGGGTGTTACAAATGGCTGGTTCTTAGAGCAGCACAGATTTGGTTTCACTTAAGAGAAAACTAAGAATTCCACTCATCAAGATATTCCTAACCGCCCCCCCCCAACTATTCCCCTTTTCACATAACATAGCTGACTTTTTTTATCTGCTACTAGGTTTTAATTACCAAAATCTGTTTTGGGAGAACTGTTCCATTTACCAGTAACCAGAATGCTTCAAGACCTGCAGTTAAAAAGCACACATGGATAATCAGAAAATTCATGCCCTATAAATTTTAAGTTTTCTCCCAAAGCACCCAGAAAATACAATCTATTGCTCTTTCTCTCCTCTTGTGCAGTATGATCTGTGATATCATAAGGAGGGTTCATTCACTTCTCACCAAAGTGGGATATACTTGGAACACTTACAGATTGCTATTATTAGAGATAATAGAGAAAATTATTGATAATAAAAACAATACCTGCAAGGAAAACACCAGAAAGTTTATAATCATCAGAAAGTTTTAAGTATTCCTAAAGAAATAAAAGAAAGAGAAGCATTACAAGTCAGAATTAAGACAGCTGGGAAGCTGGGGATCTTTTCTCTTTGTAGCTTCTACACAGAAAATGGGAAGGTCTTCCAGCACTGCAGATTAAACAAAGAACAGATACATACAAGGTGCTCTCTCGGGTCTTATCACACAAATGGTTTCATAACATTTTCCAGCAATAACATAAACATAATGAATTTCACATTAGCTCTCAGCAAGTCTAAAATATCAGATGCCCTATCAAGTTACCAAAACATAAGTGTTTACTATATATCAACTCAGTTACAGTAATAGACCACCATGCACACTACTCGCCCATCAAAAGGCAAAGCAGGTTGGCAAAAATGCCCTTCATTGAGGTTATGTATATGCAATTAAGTTTGTGACACGATCAGTTAAGTCCAACGGAAAAGATAAAATTCAGCAACATTTTTTCAGGTTTTAGGAGATAACTAATGAGATGCTATCCTAGCAGATGCCTCCAAATTACCTTTACATAGCAGCTTATTAACATAAATGCACTAACAACATCGTGCTTCTTCTATAAAGACTGGAGATGCCCATTAAAGACAGCAAAGTCTGACTTCAAATTAGTGTACATATAATCACAATGATATAATACAAAATTTCTTCAGAACTGGACTTTGTTCCCCTATAAAAATGCCTCCTGCTCAATGCAAGCCAATCAGTCCTAAATTCTTCACTGAGCTCGTTTGCATCCTAAATTCTTCCACTTTTTGCAAGCTCTAAATTTTCCCATTAAACACCCTTGGTTTTTGTCAAGCTTTTCTTTCTCCTTGAACTCAAACCCACATGTTTGTGGCAGCTGTTCCAGCTGTTGCCCAGCTAAGAACTGCTTCCGCTGTTTCTGTTCACACACACTGCTCCATTTACTTAAACATTGGTTCTAATTTTCCCACTGTTGCTTGACTAATCTCTGGCTGTAATTTAAGAAAGCTGGAAGACAACACCCATGGATCTAAGCTTTGGTCCAAGAATTTGGTCACTCCTTACCACAACTGCTTTGAAAGCCTTAGTCCTGTAAGCAACATTAAGGCCTTTGCAAGTAAACCGCAGGCACAGAACTCCATGGGATGCAAGGTAGGCTGCCAAGGACACTAAGTGAGGGAAGTTCATGTCTCCTCCAGCTCCATGAGTAAGAATCACTCCATATATTGGTTTCTTCTCGGGGACGGAAAAGATAGCATCAAGGTATTTGTTTCCAAAAGGTATTTTCACTTTAACCTAGAAATGAAACAAAACCCAATATTACAAAAAACAAGAACAAAGTGTTCCCACTCCTACACGTCTACACATTATTATGAAGAAAAATCAGACAAGAAGTAAACCAAAATTGCCAGCCTGTTTTTATTTCTTCTGTTTGAGTACTAAATGAGTAACTGCACCTCTGGTTCAAAGATTTTCCATACAATAATGGGCAAGTCACTTTATGACTCTACACCTTATGTTCTACATTAGAAAATGAAGCTTCAAAGCATAAACTGATATGATTCCGACCCCATGTATCCATGCCTAGCTTTTCCAGACCTAACTAGCTGCCTAAATTATAAGAATATCACATTAACACAGCCTAGCAAACAGTTTGAAATCACACACTGCTAACCACAGAGTGAAGCAGCAGCCTGCACAGAGGCAAGGACTGAACCTTCGCCAGGGACAGGAGACAGCACAGGGTCAGCCAAAGCTCCAGGGGGACACAGGGCCTCCTTCTATCAGCACAGACAGCTGGAGGAGCTGATCAGACACAAGAGCTGCTTATGTTTTGCAGAATGAACGGAGACTGGGCAGCACAAGTGCACCTTCAGAGAGCAACAAGCTCAGCTTTAGTCACTGCTGTGTTCCGAACGCGTTCTTTGGCAGCACACCGCAGAAGAGCTGCACAGCCGAGGGCGGTGCTCCCTCAGCGGCCGTGCCGAGCTGCGGCCTCCGCAGTCCCTGGACGGGGCGGCAGGGCCAGGCAAGGGCACGGCGGATGAGCCAAGGCGAGCGGCACAGCCGCCACCATGGACACCTCTCCTGGGAAGGCAGAGGCGGCAGCGCACCTACCCCCCCCCCCCCCCCCCAGCTCCAGGGCCTCCTCAGAGGACAGGGGCAGCTGCCACGGGTGCCATCCCCAGGGAAGGCAGGAGCCCGCACATCCATCCCCAGGGAAGGCAGGAGCCCGCACACCCCACGGGCGGCAGGCACGCGCCCATACCTCCACCGGCCCGCTCATCCCGGCCGTGACGTCACGTGAGTGACAGCCCCCCGCGCCAGTCTCTCCGCGCGGCCCCGCTGCCGCGGCGCTGATTGGTCAGATTGGCTGATTGGCCCGGCCCCGCCCCGGGGGCTCGCGGCCTGCACGGTGGATCGGGAGGTGTGGGTGGACATGGATTAGGCCGTGTAAAATAAATAAAATAACCATAAATAAATAATGCTCCACATAAATTGTTTTCATTCACCCATGTGTACAAAAATTCCACGGACTGCTAGGTGGTAATTCAGCACAAATAAAGCCAATTGTTCAGTGATTGCTCAGAAAGTCAGGTTCTTATTGACTTCGGGGAGTATAGATGAGGTGTTATAACAATGAGTTATGGAATCACAGAATCATTTAGGTTGGAAGCGACCACTGAGACCATTGACTCCAACCTACGACTGAACACCACCAAGTCAACAAGACCAGGCGCTGAGTGCCACATTCAATCATTTCTTGAGCTCCTTCCAGGGATGGCGACTCCACCACCTCCTCGGGCAGCGCATTGCAATGTGTAGAAACCCTTTCCATGAAGAAATTGCTCCTGATGTCTAACCTGAACCTCGCCTGGCACTGCTTGAGGCCATTTTCTCTTGCCATGTTGCTGGTTGCTTGGGAGAAGAGACCACTTCCCAGCTGCCTGCAGCCTCCTTTCAGGTGGCTGTAGAGAGTGATAAGGTCACCCCCGAGCCTCCTTTTCTCCCTCCATCTCCCTCAGCTGCTCCTCACAACACCTGTGCTCCAGACCCTTCACCAGCTCCATTGCCTTTTCTGGACTTGCTCAAGCACCTCAGTGTCTGTGCAGAAGTGAGGAGCCCAGAACGGGACACAGGATTGAGGGTGTGGACTCAGCGGTGCCAAGTACAGAGGGAAGGGTTAGATGTCCAGACTGACATCAGGCAAAGTTTTTTGGCAGTGTCAGCACACTCGATCTATGTGACATTGGCAAAGAGGGGAGAGACACTCAATGCCTGGTTTTCTAGGTACCAACACACATCTGTCCCCTGGGCTGTGCTCTGTTGGACAGTAAATAACTTACTGTGTTCAAAATGCAGCGCTAAACTGGTGGAAGACAGCACCAACAATATACAACAGTGTGTGCAGTATTTGTATATTGAGTATTTCATTGGCCAAAAAAAAAAAAAATCCAAAATCCTATATTGCAAGGTATTTATCCAGAGCTTATGTTTTCCTCCAGTATCAGTGTATAAAACTCACTTGTATCAATTAAGGTGCCCTGTTACTTAGCTGATTGAAGATGTCATCACCAAGCAGAATGTTGTTTTTCATATGTTCATGTGCTGGGAAATAAGCACACTCTGGCTTGTGCTCTGAGTGTCTCACTGTCAGCCTGCCAGCTGGACATTGTCAAACACTGGGATTGAAATATTGCAGCCCTCTGAGAAGTGAACCTGGCAGCGTAGCCCACGTTCTGAGCTGCTGTCTCAGTGACCATCCTGCTGCCTCACAGGCCAATTCCCAGTCCGGCATTATCGTAGTAAGTATGAAAGACAGAAGTGGAGAACCTGGGCGATTTACAGGGAGATTTATTTGACTGTATTTCTACCTTGCCTAAAAGATGCCAAGCTAAAGTGAGATGCAGAAGTGCAAAGCTGAGTGAAAGTCATTGGCACAGCTTGCGTGAGTTGTGCACCTTCCACGGGAAGCTGGACCACAGATGGTGTCCAGGCAGCTGCTCCTGGAGCTGTAGCTCACATCTGGGGAATCCAGGAGACTGGGGAAATGTCAGATTGATTTATCTTGATTGGAGATCACACTATTCTAATTAGTAGTTCACACCAGTTAAGCCTTTGTAAATAAGATACTTCACAAAATTGGACTGAGATTTGTTGTCCCAAAATAGTTACAACCTCAACCTAGAGAACAGGCGTGCAAGAAGAAGGTTAAGAAAAACTTCCTTCATATAATTTCTGGTTTTTTTCATTACTGCTTTCATTTCTATACCTAGCAGATGTTTATGTGCTCTGGTATAGTTTATATTTTTGTTTTGCTCATTTCTTGATCTGCTTTTTGCATTCGCTTTAATTTTTTCTCCCTCTTAAGTCTACCTGTTGTGTTTGTCCTGCTTTACTCACATACTGTGTCCAGAGCAGTCCTTGAAGAACATGTATCCCATTAAATCTACCCATGTGTAACCCCTTCCCACTGAAAAACTACTTTCTTATGTTCTCTGCATACAGCAAGCTGCTGCCAGTTTACTTTGTATTTTCTCTGTTCATTTTCTTTTCAACACTTGAAACTCTTCTGTGCAGACACAGTCTTTGAAGAAGGGTAGCTAATACCCAGCAGAGTTGAAAACAATGCAAATGCCAGGCTGGATGGGGCCCTGAGCAACCTGGTATAGTGGAAGGTGTCCCTTCTCACAGCAGAAGGGCTGGAACAAGATGACTCTAAAGGTCCCTTCCAACCCAAACTGTTGTGTGATTCTGTGATGAAATGAATGTGTGAGGAACAAGAGACTCTCTCATTCTTTAATCATCTGGTCCACGACAATAGGGTTGGACTAGTACATTTTTGCCACATTTTTCCTGCTGTAACATTTTTTCTGGAAGATAATGACCCCAGGTACTGCTAGTACGTCAAATGCTAGGAATTGAATTATAAATACATATATTAGATTCCAACTCATGGGAAAATTCTTTATGATGGACAAATTCTGGGTTTTATTGAGTTCTGCATATTTAATAAAATGCATTAATTAACAGGCAAATTATTTTTTTTTTTAAATTTGGCATCATAAAGAAATTCTCATATCAAACTATTCCAAATTAGGTCTTTCTGGGTTTAGGGGGACATTTAAATATATTCTTGTTGGTTTTCAAGTGTTCTGAGTAACTATTCTGAAATCCAGTTGTATTCCCTTCCAAGAGTATTGAAAATTCTTATGCTTTTTTTTGCACACTTAGATATTAATTAATAGTCTAAGTTAAAGCGCCTCCAAAAAACGCAATTATTAATCTTTTCTGAACTTCTGAATCAATGTTTTTAATTTAACATCTAAGAAAACATGGTTACTTTGGAGCATGGCATTGTTTCATAAATTTAACCTTACATCATCCCTGGAAATAGAAGTTTATTCTGGAAACGATATAGTGCATAATAATCTAAGTCTGTCATCAAATATGAAAATCATTGAAGGTATGTGATTTGCCATTTCTCAATGGGAATATATGTTGAGTGTTATAATAACCTATGCACTGCTGTAAGCACCTCTGACAGATTTGATATGCCAAAGGCAGCTGGGTTTGAAGAAACAGTGGCTGTTTATAAAAGAATGACATTATCCCCGGTCTAAACTTGGGACCTGATAACTTTCAGCAGCACATCAGACAATCCCCGTTCTTTTCTTTGGATTATAAATACAGCATTTCATACCAGAGACTTAGATTAACACACAATGGGAACAATAGCGATGACCTTTTCCATTAATCTTTTGTTGGAATACATTTGTTCAGAGGAATGTATAAAAACAATTATAAAAGTATAAAAACATATGTTCGGGGGGTCTGAATTTCAGTGTAAAATAAATAATATCTTAAGGGCATTAGACTCAGAAATATTATTTTATTTTATTACACTTTTTAATAGAAGACCAGAAAATATTTGTTTGTTTGTTTGTTTGTTTTAGGCTGGAGACACATTTATTTGTTCTAAAAGTTCAACTCTCCTTCTAAATTACAAACTTGACTTTTGAGAAGGAACCATTTTTTTTTCCTCTGAGGATGTGGATACACACAAGCACATGGACATGCTGTGTTCACAGGTATCAAAAGTAACCTTTAATAATTTTCTGAAACTGATCAGCAAACTATTACCTGATTAGCCAGTATAATTTCCTATGTTTAAAAGTGGTGATATCCATGACACTGCTTAATTTTTAGCTATTTCTTGAGGTTCTGAAGAAGTTTTGAGGTCCTCCATGAAAGGTGAAGTGATGGGAAGGTGATAAGCCGAACCCTCTAACATGTAAAAAAATACAGGACTTTAGCATGGCATCTGTGATTCCCCATGTCTCCGTGACAATCTGGAGAACTTGGTCACTGGCACTGGATGAAGGAGTAAGCCCCCCTGGGTTTAGTCTATTCAGACTGTCATGTATCAGTTACACACTTGCATAGTAAGCGTGTTACTGATATGCAATGTATAATATATAATAAATATATAAAGTGTATGTGCTAGTCACCTATTTTTATGAAATTGTGCCATGTACAGGGTGCCTTTCGTAGCATTATATAGGTCACACTGGAAACACAGATAA